ACACAGGCAGCTCACTCCAAACGAGAGACATTCTTTTGTCCTGCCTTATGAGGGCTTTCAGATAAAAAGAGTTCGAGGCTACTCAAAGGGCCAGCTGTGATATGAAGGGCACAGGTTTAAAATAGCTCTCAGGCAGTAAATGCTTAATGATCAGATCTTTCATTGGTCTTGGAACATTTGAGGAAACTCAGCCAGCTAAAATATTTGTTGATTACTTTAACAGAGGCCCTTTGTTCGCATTATCATGCAGAGTAATTAAGCCAATGCAAACTAGTCCCCTTAGCTATATACATAATTAAAATGTTAGACTGTGATTAAATAGACTGTATTGGCACAGGGAGCAGCTATTCACTTCATAATAGAGTTCCATCACTCCGTTAAGCTTGTTTTCACCTTATGTTATTTGTTGGTTTTTTTTGGAAAAATCAGTTTTATACGAGACAGGTTGTGGTAGCTGTGCTTCCAGTGAGGAGCTAATGAGATCTTACAATGGAGAAAAGAGAGATATCCAAAGTATTTAGTCCATAGAGCAAAATGCAAGAAAAGCAAATTAATCCATTTTACTTTACTCCAGAGTTCATTTTGCAGAGGCTATGTCCAATTTTCTCATTTCCTTCTTGATTTTGGCATCTCCTATGCTCTAGTCAAACCTTCAAAGTGAAAAGTTGATGATTATACTGCAGTTGAAACTCTGTCAGAAAGGCAAACTCTTTGATCGTTAAAATATTTTAATTCACTACATTTGTTAATTTTTGGATTACCCTAAGTCAAAAGCTTATTGTCAAACATTACATCATCCTGAGATCTCCCAAGCCTAAAAAACAACTTTCTTTTGGGATCCTCTCTCAGTTGACAGTTCGTGATAAGTTACACTATTGGCAGCAGCAGACTGGCTTTTCCCATGCTTTTGCAAAAGAATGTTAGGACCCTTTTTGATTTCCAGTAGAGCTGGAATTTTTTAGAATTTCTTCTAGCAAGGACAACAGAAGTTCTTAGGAGGTAGATGTCACTACTTCTGCATGTTTTGGCCACAGAGTCTCTTTTTTTACTGAAAATTCCCAAAAGCAGAATAAGAGAAAGTATCCAGAAAAAGTCCAGGAGTAGGAGGAAGCTGAAAAGGAGGAGACACTTGATAGAAATCAGGTTATTTTGATGCAAGGGAGATGTGTCTATTGTTTTTGACTTTGTGTGTGTTAATGTGTCTGGTAAAATAGTCCAGTTCAGTAGAACAGTGACTTTAAGATATGTTGGCCATGGAGGTAATCCCAGAAGAGATCCCATGTTTTATTTTGACTGCCTGACATGTATGAGAGCAGAGAGATCTTTAATTACAAGTAAGGTCCTTGACTGTGTTTTGTGAGATGGAAATAAAAGGCAGGCTTGTCCTTAAATGCTATGTTCATCCCACTGCCCTGAAGTAGAACTGAGAGCAGTGACATCTCTACTGTCTTCAGTAATCCTTTGAGCCAAACAGTGCCCTTGGAACCTCTGCTTGGAATCTGATTTCACAAGTTGTCCAGTAGGGCTTGTGATGAAAGATTTGCAGTGGCTCTGAAAATGGCAGTTTAAGAGGAAAGAAGATGAGAAGATGAGAAAAATCTTTCTCTTTACACTGATAGCAGTTGTTGTCACATCTTCCCTCACTTTTTTTACTTATGCCTTTGGTTCAGATTGAGGTGCTTATTTCTCTGTCTGGTCAGATGTTCCTCTAAAGTGCGAATAGGCTGATTTCCGCAGCCTTTTAATTTGAAATCTTACTTGGTGTATCTTTTCTACTGAGTTTCATTGAAACTTTTTGAGTTTATTGTGAGTATGATGTAGATTTACAGGGAAATATATTTTAAGAGAACAGCAGCAGGTACTGAGTTTCTGGTAGATTTGAGCTGTGTCACCAGAAATCTGGAGAACTCTGTTTGCTTGTTATTGGATTCATGGCTTTAAGAATCTTCCAGCAGACTCATGTTACTGGAGATTCATTCTAGAAGTACTCTTCCAGCAAATGCACCTTTCAACATGTTAATAATTAGCAAAAAGATAAAACATCTCCAGCAAGTAGTTTATTTCTTAAGAGAAGCCAGACTACAGAGCTCCAGTTTCCAGTGCTGATCAGTCAAGTGCAGGTCTGCAGTTGCCACATGTTTTTTCTGCTCCTCAATTTCTCTATGGTTTGCTTAAATTCTTGCTTGAAAAGTGAATTATCAGTAACTATGTTTTGTTAGGCTCTCACATTAATAAATGTGAGCTGTGATCATCATGAACGTGGCAGTTATAATAGCTTTCTCTTAATAAGAATGATCTCATCATGGGCATAATTTTGATGGAGTAAATAATTCTCAACACATGCTGATGAGAAAGAAACTGGGAGCTTGTTGCAAGCTGATGTCATGGGAAGAGCCTGGTCTCTTCAGCAGGGACTCATCAGTGCAAAGGGCTCTGAAAAATGTCTGACTTGTAGCTAAAAAGAAAATCAGGTTGGGAAAAGCTGTTTTAAGTACTTAACTGTATAAAAAGCAAGGCTTTGACAATTATTATCAGTTGAATCTTTCACTGCTGTATGACTGCAAAATAAAAGAGACTAGGCTGAATTTTCCTTCAATTCCTAAGTAATCTGCATTTTTTCCTCTTGCTTGTGAAAACAATCCATAGTTTATAAACTAAGTCTCTCAAACAAAATAGCAGCGGGGTTTTTATTTCCAGAAATTTAGCACATTTGCTGAAGCTCAAAATAACTTCTCCTTTTAAATTTAGACTTGTTTATAGTCATGTACATGGTGTGAAGTGAGTGAGAAAGGCTACTGGTAGGATTTGCTTGCATGATTTTTTTCAACTGTTTTGCATTAATATGAGTGGCAAAGTTAAACTTACTGGATAATGAGTTCTGATTGTAAACGTCCTCTAATGTTTTATGTAGTGCTGTCATTGGACCATTTGTTAGAGGACACCACTGTCTGGCTTGATCTAACTGCAAAGATTTTGTGATACTTAGTTTATGTGAATAGATATTATGGTCCTCAAAGCAATGAAATGTTTTCTACTAGCGCAGAACCAAGAACATGAACTCAGGCACCCAAATACAGCTTTGGAACATATTGTCACTTGGAGCTACACATCATAAATTAAGAATTTTTTTTCCCAAATAAATAACTGTATTTGCAATCAAATCTTATCAAATCTTCATTCTTCTAGGAAGAACTTTAATGTTGATTAATTGATGATGATTATCCACTAGTTTATGAGCTATTTATAAAATCTTTATTATAAATGCATACAAATTTTACCAGCAAAAAGTATAAGGTCCCAAGGTGTCACTTTCCTTGCTTGATGCTTCTGTGGAATTTCCTCCTGCATCCTGAGTACTCTACAAAAAGTTTGTACTTGAACTGCATATTTAACAGTGCACAGCCTGGCCATTCTGCACAACATTTTAATAGAGGAAATTAAAATAAATACCATAGTAAAGTCAAGCTAGATATTTTAATGGGAAAGCCTGAATCTTCCCATTTAGAGATGCAGAGCAAAAATACTTACTGATACACAAACTGTAAGTGTCACTTGATTCCTGTTTATACTTCTAAAATTAAGACCCAGGATAAGGCTAAAATGATGATTTGCCCCATCCTAGCTGTTCACAGTTTGAGTAGCAGTGTGGCTAAGAGTCTGCCTGTGAAAAGTAGAAAATGTACCTTCGGTACACAAAAACACTAAAGCAAGCTGAAATGTGCTTAATGCCTGCCAGTACAGGTTCTTTGGGGACTGAGAATTCTTCAGGGACTTCTTGCAGAGACTGAGAATTTTTCTATTTACTTCAGTGGGAATAGGGTATAGTTTTAATTTTTCCTGACCTAAATTTTCGTGGTGTTGCGATGTGAAACAGGTGAAGTTAGTCTTAAGGAGATGAAATTAACCTCGGTGGAGAGAGAAAGTGATTGGTGGTGCTGTTTGACAAGCAGTTAGCTGCACTTAACGCTTGGTGTGCTGGACCATCTCTGCCTCTTGAGCTGAGGTCAGCTGAGGACAGAATGAGAGATTTTAATTAGAGTGGTAGTGAAATGAGGCTCATTCCTTTTTTTTGAACAAGCTGATTTAGCCGCCGGTGTGCCTACATTAAAAGCTGTTTTCTCGAGTTAAACTCAATTATTTGTTTTTGCTTTGGCTGCTTTGCATTCTTGCTCACAGTTGGGTTGGTGTTATGTGAGAAGGGCAGGGTTACGGGTTCGTATTCATCTACGCATGTTGTTGCAGACATACTTTACCCAAGAAATAAAATAGTCCAAAATCTCAGCGGAGAAGATGAAGACATTTCTCAAACCCCAAACAAAAACAATAAATGGAAACAAGGATTAACTTTGTCAATTTTCACCCCTCCCACAATAAATCTCCCAAATCTTGGCTTTTATCTTAGGTGGATAACACAATAGGCACCAGAGCACACCAATGTTACACAAATACTTCATGTGCTATCAATTATTTTGGAAGTATTCATCATCTGAATTGTGAAATGGTTTGACCTTTCTTCCAAATGGAGAGTGTACAAGGACATGAGTCTTAGGCTGTCACATTCTTTCTCTTGTATGGGTATCCTCTAAAGTTATTTCAGAAGAGCACAGCTCTAAGTTCTCCCTTGATACCCTGCCCCTCATGTTGCTCTGTGGAATGATGTTGGGTTAGAGATGATCTGTTATGTGGCAGGGGAATAGGGGTGAGGCGAGAAGCAAAACTGTTTAGTTTGGTGGTTTAAAAAAAAAAAAAAAAAAATGGCTCAGACATTATGAAATCAAGAGAATACATTCAGTGGGAATGCAGCTGCGCAGTCCTGCCTGGCAGTGACTCCCAACCTTCAGACAGCTATGTCTGGAAAGGAAGGAGCTGCTCCAAGACAAGGTGGGAGCAGGGCGGGTGGGCGTACCTAGAATGTGTTCTCATGGAAAGGACTCTTGTAACATACCCAGCAACATCACACTCAGAACGGCTTGCTTTTTTTAAACAACTTTAGAGTTTATTAACTTATAAAACCAGGTTGAAGTGATACAAGTACATAAATAAGTACCGTAACAGACATACGTCCCATGAAAAGAATTGAAAGCATGATGACACTGTGTATTTTATTTCCCTATGTGATGAAAAACTGCAAAAATGCAACACTGCATTTTACTAGATGGTGCTTATGATTTTTTTTTGCTTTTCTTAGAAAGTGTTTATTATAAAATAAATACACAATCTGGACTCCACCAGTCCTGTCACAAATACAAAAAGCTGATTGCCGCCTTCATAAAAACACCAACACTGTACACTTCCCCTCAGTCTTTGTTCGCCAGCTACTGCTACAGACTATGCCCATGAGGTGAGAAGGCAACTGCTCTTCCCACCAGATCGCTACAGTTCCTCGGTCTTCCTTACGGTGTCTTCACCAAAGGAAAGATCAGGATAATTCATGGCTTATCAGAAGAGTTCTAGTGAGATTTAGCACTTCTACAGCACATTTGAATTCAATAGATGCCACGTGCTGTGGGTTTTGCTAAGACCAAGCTGGTGCTTCCACAGTTAATTATTTTGCAGTGACCTCTGGTGCAGTGAGGCCTCAGGACCTTGGTTAGGATGCCCTACTCCACTTCCAAACACCCGCACAGCACTTATGGAGGCAATGATACCATGGAAACTCAATGGGACAAATCACTTTGTCTTTCTTATGGCTAGGTGTCCATTCAGACTCTGTGCACGTAGCACGTTACCAGTGATAGTCTGTGCCCCGCTGGGCTCTGTGAGGAGAGGCTGGGCTGTCACATGGCTACAAAGGCAATGGCTGGGCCCAGCAGTGAAACCTCAGGAAAAGGGGATTTCAGAAAGGGTGAAACAGGGCCAGCAGTGCGAGGAGTGGCCCTGCAGCAGGTCAGAGCAGGAGGGATGCCAAGCCTGGGCTTCCTGTGGCCTTGCTGGGCACTTCTGCTGGTAGGGCTGTGTCTGTGCAGGAGCCATGCTGGAGCTGTCCTCACTGCAGCCTGATGAGGTTTGGTTCTTACTGACATCAGACTAGTGTTTTATTATTGCAAATCCACCTGCACGCTCCCTTTTTAGCATGTTTTCTGACACGGTGAACTGTGTCGAGCACTTGGCAGGGAGGGAAGTGTTCCTCTATGTTAGCCACTCTGCGCCCAGGCCAAGGGACAATGTGGTGATTATATGCAGGATCCTGGAGTTACAACATCCTGGATCACTCAGTGAGTTATTTGCCCAGTTCCCTCCAGCTTTCCCACCCCTTTCAGCCTGTTTTTCTCACTTGCTCCTCTTTGCTGGGAAGCCCCACGCCGTGCTGCCTGCAGCAGAGCAGGGCCTGGGCAGCACGAGGCAGCCTGGCTGAGAGGAGCTGCAGGGAGGTGGCATTCAGCACTGAACTGAATGAACTCCCACACCTCCATCCCTTAGAAATGGGTACACCCCTGCAGTGCTGTTGCTGGCAGAACAACAAACCTCAAAATCCTCGCAGTCACTGTGACTTCACTCCCTATGAAGGCCCAGCCCCTGGTTCAGATTGTTTCCACAAAGCTTTATTTCCTAGTGTGTGTTTGAACAGCAGTGTTCCTTCCCACTTGTGGAGCAGAAAATGGAGGCAAAGCAGGCAGAGTCATTTGCTTCTTGGGAATTCACCCAACACTGCAGCCCCCGGGCAGTGCAGCATTATGGTGACTCTTCAGAGAAAATATTTTTTCAAAATAACAGCCTTCTGCTTCTTTTTTGGCAGATGAGAGCCACCTTTCTTAAACACTGTAGACGTCCTATTACTAAGTCTAACAGAGTATCTCAAAATTCTTTTTCACAAAGATAAGAGTTTTCGTAGGGCTACTGCGTTCTAAAGGCTTGCTGTAGCTGTTTGGTATTTGTCATGGGGGAAATCTGTCCTTGAAGCTTGAGAATTGGGAAGTCACCATCAGAAAAAAAATGCAGATTAGCTTTGTAACAAACCAGAACAAATAAATTAAGCTCTGTTGTAATGAAGGAGTTATTAATTGGCAGGTGCAACCCCCTAGGAATTCTGAAAGTGCTGCAAGTACTTCACCACCTTCTTCAGCATCACTTTACAAGGCAGTCTATCAGCCAAGACCACGTGTTAATCAGGCCCAGAAGAATGAAGTTATTAGGGTTGTGATTGAGAGATAATACGTACATTTTTTTTAGAGAAGTGGGTGGTGGAAACAGTGAAAACCACTTAAAAGCGAACATTTGCTCAAGTTGCTACAAAAATATAGTGATTGCCACTAACACCTGCTGTTCAGTTTATGGACTCTGTTTGCTCAACAACAAGACATCATCCCAAAGGCAGGCTGCTTAGGAGTTTGTTAGTTTAAATCTGTTTTTTTATGTCTCCAACACAAGTACTGCAGCACTTGTATTTTTCTTCCACTACTTAAAAAGAAATTCACAAGCCATTTCAACTCCAGAAATGGTATGAGCTCGGCACAGGAAATAATGCTCTCCACAGCTCCTGCACATTTATTAGGTGTCCTTCTTTCCATTAGTTTGAATAACTTGCCAAATAATAAAAGCATTCTGTTTTCTCTTTCTAACTTGTAAAGAAATGCAACTCTGGGAAAGTACAGTCTCTCTTTCTGCTTCCCCCACCAGTAACACAGAGCCTCCTAGAATTTTGGAGGAGATATTTGAACGATTGACACAGACCACTACACATAAAGCAGCAAATTTGCTGTGCATGATGTGAATAATTACTGCATTATAGTTTTGGTTTTAGGGCAACTGTTGACTTAAGCAAAATAAGCCTGCAGTCCAGCTGCAGATCCAAGTTTTCATAAGTTTTCTTGTTTTTCTCCCTCCAGTGCTGTCTCCCTTAACAGTGACCCTTTTCAGACTTCTCAAGGTACAAAACCTTTACCAAATCCTCGAGCTCAGTCCTGCACACTCTGCTTTCACACATTTGGCTGATCTGAGCTTCTCCCTCGCTAAATATTTTCCACTGGCCTGAAAACAAAAACACAAAGGAGAAAGACACTCGCTTAGGAAGGGCATAGGGAACTTTGGAGTCACAAGCATTCTCCAGACAAACTGATACACAGTGGTCAAAGAGAGGATGTCCAATCCTCCCACGGAAAATATTCAAAGTATTTTACAGTCATTTAACATATTCTATGAAAAGCAATTTTGTTACAAATGATAAACAAGAACCTGAATATCCTTTTCTTTACTCAAGTAGTACTATTTGCTTCAACCATTTATGAAGTCAGATCCATTGATTTATGACAGTGATATAAAAATTTAAATGTGATGGTAAATGAAAGCATTTAGAAGTCAGCATTTCATGCAGTATGAACTCTAGCTACCTGTATATTATACAAACTGTGTCAAATAACAATATTCTGGTATAGTTTTGCTAAGGTTAACAGAATTGCTCACTGTCCCACTAACTAGGATGTGATAGTACAGATAACAATGACAAGTGCAGAGAAGGCTGAAAGGAACAAATTAGGAAATCTTCAAGATGAAAAGGTGTCTGCTTCTCACTTAGCCTGTATTATGAAGAATTACTTCATAATACTTCCCTGCCTACTTGGAACTTCAAAAAAAACCCTGACAATTCGTAGTGCAAAAGAACTAGTAACTAAAAATGCCTATACCTTAATTAAACTGTCAAATTAGGTATCATATCCCAAGCTGGATGAAATACAAAAAAGAAATTGAAGCAAGAGTGATAAATGAGTTGCATAACTTTTCAAAAGACAAATTTTAATAATAAAAATACTGCTTAGAACATAGAAAAGGCTTTTTCAAGTACAACATATGTACATATATGGGCTTAAATAAAGTCAAATAGTGCTGTTGTGCTGACATCAGTCATATTTCAGACTCATGGCATTATAAGCAGAAAACAGCCAATTTGTTTTCTCAGAATGACAGGAGACTAGTGCATCGTGCTGTATGTACCTGCACTTTAAATTGCTGTGTTTTGATTATTTGGTTTTATACAAAGCCACATACTAGAGGAACATGAGGCTGTTTGACTGCATTGAGTAAAATGGCGTATTTTTCAAGGTTGTATAAATGGAGAAAAGCCTGAAGAGGTCAGAATTTTACTTACTAGAGGTTGTCCTTGTTATCTGTTTGAAGTAGGGAAGCTCTTCAAATTCCCTCTTGGACATTTTCTCAATGTAGAAATGACGGAGAATCCCTTCGGCAAAGGTACAAGAAGTGGCTGTTACTGCACATTGCTCTAAGCCCCGGGTGCTGCCCAGTCTTTATGCAGAATTACTGCTGTTTTGAGCTACACTGTGAAATAATCCTTACCAATAATGTGGAATTTCGGCCTATTCTGTCTGACTGTTTGCTACCCCAGTGCTACTCTTCAGAGGATTTATGACTGCAGAGAGTTGAGGATGGGTGTGAGAATTAGCTGATTTTTTTTCTGACATAGCTAAAACCTTTCTTAGCATGGGCGAATGTAAAACTACAACAGAAGCCAAAATCTCAGTATCTTGGAGAAAACCAGTACAATTTTGTTGTTAGCTGGCATTTTGCCTGTCATGAGTTAGCAGACATTACTGACAAGTCATCACAAGGCTTTGTGGCTTCTTGAACGCATACAGTAATTATTAACCATCAGCCCTCCTGCGACTTCTGTTCTGCTCATAGTTGGGGTTTGGCTTTGTGCTTTATAGTGCATTCTGGAGATCATTTCCGTGCAAAGGGCTGCACTAGAAGAGGTTTTCCTAAGGGGATTGCATCCTTTTTGCTTAAATTGGATTAAGTAGATAGGATCTTTAAGGACCTGGAGATAATATTTCTTCTTTGCTAACTGTTGAGGATTTGCAGTAATGCAAATCAGAAAGCTTCTGAATTTTCTTCTGATTTTACCAGTTAAAATCAGTAAGAGATATGGCTTTCACCCTTAATACATTTATTGTCAATATTCTAGGCCATTATGAATGCAGTTACATATCACTAAGGAAGACAGGACAGATAGGAGAGACAGTAATTTCAAAGGAAAACTTTCTGTCCAGCTAAATAAGCACTGGGTTCAAACCCATTGTTCATTTCTCTGTCACAGATTACACATGGTTTAATGACACCCAACATGGTTTTGTTGTTTTGCTCACAATAAAGGCCAGGAGTTTGCAGAACTACAAATGTGTGTGTTATTAATGATGTTTGTACAGCAAAACGTAGTAGTGGACATGGCTGTAGTGCTGGTATCCTAAATAGCTAAGAGAACAGCAGTCTCTAGATGCTTGGAATTTAAGTTGCTCTGGCATTTTAAGGAGAGATGATATACTTTTAAAATATATAACTTATTCAACTCACCTTTTCTGATTGTCCACACGTGTATTTCTATTTGTGGTGACTTTTCAGTCTCTACTGCAATTTTTCTGATGGTTTCTCCTTCCTCTGTGAAAATGGATTCATAGACGGGAAAGGTCTCTTTCCCACAGAAGTAATCTTTGTTGTCAAAGCTTTGACTTGGCACTTCTTCTGTTTAAGAAAAAAGTCCAAAACACATTCTACAGCTGTAAACAAGTCTTCCAGAAATTACGTGGCACTAAACCAAGCAGGTTTAGTTTAATATTAGAGTTTTCATAGTGTCATGGAATATCCCAGGTTGGAAGGGACCCACAAGGATCATCTCGACCAACTCATATGTTCACTTATGTAGTCTTTGAAATCCATCTCCAACTAAGCCGTAGGCATTTAGTAGTGTTATATTCTGCTAGGTTCCCACTGTCTGCCTCTTGTGGCAAGAGAGCATTTGTATTTATAATCCATAAAGAATTTCATAAAGAAATGAGCTATACTGGTCTGTGAGAATCCTCAGGATTTTTGAACCACTGTCCACTTTCCAAGCATATTTGAAATAACAGTGCAAGTCTCAGAGGTAACTAAACAATAATGAAAATCAATGGTTGGAGAGAGTGAAGAAACCGAGGTAATGCTTTGTTCAGGAAAAGGGTGGGGGGAGAACCTACATCTTCTGGAGTTTGATTAGCAGCAGGGGTCAGGTAGGGATGTGGCCAGCCAGCAGTTCAGTGCAAGCCTGGGCTAGGCACAGGGCACGTTATCTCATGACAGCCTGGTGAAGTCACAGGACATAGAAGTGGAAATTGTAATTATTCTAATGGTGGTTGGAAGTTGGACAAGAATGGGAGAAAGAAGATGCAATGATTTGAATGTTCTGTGAGTACTGCAGTGGGGAAAGGATGGAAGAGTCTTCTGATAGTAGTGAACTGTGTATGTTTCTGTAATATTCTCTTTGGAAATGAGCATCAGGAAGTCATGCAAACAGTACAGAGAAAGGCAGGAATTGATGAGAACATATGTGCCCCATGCAACAAGCCCCTCATCTGAAGAACAACAGCTAATGGGAGGGCTAGGCAGGTGGCTCTGCGTGTCTCACATGGATATCTCTGCACATAAGTCAGAACCGTGGGCACTGCTTTGCTCTTTTCATCAGATCTTGTGACCAGAATCCTTGACACGCACAGAAAAAAAGAGCTTTATGATCAACTCTTTGTTTTACCTGGACAGACTTTACAGCACTTTCCTTCCACTTTCTGAGGGTATTTGCAGGGATATTGTTCTGGACAATGAATTTTCTTACACTCTTGTTTGGTGATGTTGCAGGTACACAGCACACACTCTACAATTCCAAAGGCTCGGAGATTAGGATGCCAGGATTCACCATGGGAGTATGTTTTGCCATTTGAAACACAAACTACAAAAGAAGAGACAAGGGAGAAAAAGTACAACTGGAAAAGGTACGTTCACTGGCTGTTCTTCTGTGAATATTCATTTGATTCATGCACATTTGTTTAAAGCAGTGTCTCTATACCTAATTCGTTAGTGTCTCTGGCTCACTTCACTACTTGTTTGCTTCAGTCAGAGTTTTGCCACGTAAAATGAGACGGAGCCTATGATCACTCTTTTCTGAACAGATTGGCTTTGATTCCAAATCCCATGATGCCAGTGTCCATCACTATTTTGAAGACAGTGGAGAAGGTGGCTGAGTCAAGTATTTGAGCAGCCCCCCTCCAGCACATGCATTTCAGTCGTGCATCATTAACCAGCTTATAAAACTAACTCCTCCTTCTTACAGCTGATCTCAGTCCACACACAAGGCATAGCCTGCTAAATTGGCTCTGGCTTCTAGTATTGAATCTGCAGTGGGCAAAATCAGGACATTTGCTACAAGTTATCTGAACAACTGTTCCTAGTATTAGCTGAACGTGGCTTTTACAGGGAGAGCCATACTATCAACAGGATGGATTGGTGCCACCTGGGCCTTTAATACTGCAGTCACACAGGACTTCTGCTACACAACACAGAGCAAAAGCAATGGAATGTTACAAAAAGAAGTCTGGTGTCATTTGTAGGGATATGTATGTCTATAGGTATATAGGGACATTTGGCCTTTGGAATCACAAGATAACATTAACTTGAAAGGATGTCTGTGGGGCTGAGATTTCATTCCAAGAGCATCTAAGCATCTCACAGTATTTTTTTCATCTGTGCCCCTGAGAGACAGAGAAATACAGCTGGCAAAAGGAGAGTGGAAAAATTCCTACCTGGTAGAAGTCACTTTGGGTCACCATGCATTTAATGGGGATTATATCACTTTACACCATGTTTGCATTTGTCCTATAAACCTTACTTCTTTCTTTTTAAATATTTTATAAACACGAAGAAAAATGCAAACTAATCCTAACAAGGTGAAAGAAAGGGCATTGCCTGAATTCTAAAGGCAACTGAAGTGAAGCTGGGGTATGTTGCAAATATTTCCAATTCTTTTAATATGCCATCATTTTTATTAATGCTTTTATTTGTAAAATATGTTCCTATTTTGCCTGTAACTTTCAAAAGCAATTTAATTTTTATCTGTAATCTGAAATTTACATCTAACTGGTAACAGATGTGATCAACTGGCTTATACTTCACTGAGTTGCTGAGATTTATGGGGAATGTTCTTTGCAATGTATTATCTTTCATGAGGTTATGTTATCATTTGGTTTATCATTTGCTATTTTTTAACTCCTTCTTAAGACATGGCTTTATTTTAGAGGTGGAAAACAGTTTTGTTTCTCACATGAAAGCAAATAATGTGTTATCTGTTTACTGAAAATGAGAGAAGAAGGATCTGTTTAGCACAGAACAGTCTGGGGTAGCAAATGAAGCCTTCAGAAGAAGCTAAAATATGGCATGTAACTTCTGGCTCCCAAATGCCCTGTTTTTTTGTGTGTGTTCTTCGCATTCAGAATTATAAATCTGTATCCATACAATCACATTTTATTTGCTTGTCAGGAGAATTGCTATGTATTTATTTTTTAGTTTGTTGTGTCTCAAGGGACATATGCATTAATTAACGCATTACTTGTTAACTGGGGAAGAACAAAAGAAAATACATGGTCAGCATTCTGGTTTCCACCAAGGGGATCAGTTAGACACTCTCCAGGCAGTGGATGTATGAAGTTGTAGCAGTTAGTATACTGCATTCAGTAATATGCTATTCATCTGTATGCTTTTTATTTGCTGAAACAAATCAGTTAGAAACTGCTTTGATGATGTCTTTATGTGTGAATAACATGTCAGAGGTATTGCACTGTGTGGAGATTCCTACTCCTAGATTCAGCATAAAACACTGGCATGATCTGAATGCTTTTTCATGGTTGTTCAGGTGGATAATAAAGATCCTATGGCCAACATTCCTTCTGTTAGTTAATACCTTGAAAGATTAGTTGGCCCTAATACAGGGGCTTTTAACTCTTTGTGGGTAGTTTCTGAGTGCCTACTGAGTGGTGTTTGTGGATAACTGCTTTTCTGAATATGCACTTTTACAGCCAGTTATTTTATGGCTTCTTAGAGCTGTTCCTGCAGACCTCAGCTGCCTTACATACACCCACTGTGGGAACTGAGCATCCTGCCCTTTTGGTTGTACAGCACCTGCTGTCCCATGAACTGACAACTGCTATTTTCCCTCTATTTTTGTCTGTCCTACAATGCAGCAGGAATGTCTTAGTCATGTTTGTATAAGGTCTGCCATATAGGCTCAAAGTCCTGCTGCCCACATAATGTAATATATTATCAGAAGGCACTGAAGGATTCATTGCTTTGGTTAACTTTGCCTGGTTACAGCTCAGACATCCAGTCTTGATTAATTACCTGCTCTGCATCTACTGTTAGACAAGGGGGAGGAAAAGGACCCCCTGCATCTCAGACAACCAGCTTAAGGTGGGGGAAGACATGATATTTTCTTTCTTTGGAATAATTTGCTAAGCCTTGGAGTCAGAAAACTTTCAATTCTACAGCAAAGTTTTATGGCCTGAGATTTGTGGGGTGGTTTAAATACATGCAGTTTGCAGCTAGTAAAAAAAAAAAAAGGAGACGGTGTAAAGAACATAACCACCATCTATATCCTACTGCACAAGTCACTGTGTGAACCAGTTAGCAAATCTAAGGGCATCATGGTGTCCTTTGGGGCACTTAGAGCTCACTTTGCTGGTCACAGCAGCATGTGTTTTCTGAATTATGTAGTACAATACCACAAAGCAATTCAGACAGCAACACAATAATGCTGTGCCCATGCAGGCTGAAATGCACTGTTGTATTAGCAGGCACAACTGATCTCAGAGGAGCTTATTTCATATCCTTACTAGTCTGTTGCTTTCACCCTCTGATTTGCATTGGATCTCCCGATACCAGTGTGAATTTCCAAGAGTCTGCTGTACATTTTGAGAAGACATTTTTTGTAGGTGTTAAATGCCTGACCCAGAATAATACCATACAAAATACTTATCTTTAATACCATACAAAATACTTATCTTTACCTCGTCCGTGCCTGTGCTTGTTGTTGATAACAATTTGTACTATTGTTCCTGATGCTTGCTGGGGATCTGGTAGGACTCCGCGGTTATTCCTGGCACTTGGAAATCGTGGGACATTGACTACCTGCCTGGTGGAGCTGGGTGACAGCTCATAGTGGGAGCGGTGGTAAGAGTGTCTCTGGAGACAGAAAGAGAGCAGGAAAGTAAATGTATCATTCCAGTGAGCATGAGTGCCCTAAGTGTAAGGAATGGTACCAAACAAAAGAAGGCCACACAGGTTTTGCAGGTGCTTAACATGGCAATGAAGTTAACTACACATACACAGTTGGACCTCATCTCACCAGACTGTATATTCAGTGTAGGTGTCTACATCTAAACTGATTATCTGAAGTCCCTTATCAAGTACTTCTTGAAAGTGATCCATCTGACCTACTATAGATCTCAGGAGATGAATCACAACCTAGAAGTCCCCATTTCACTCAATTTATGATAAACAGAATTCAGAGCTAGACACCTTCTTTACTTACGTCTGCTTTAAGAACAGGTGAGCCCGTCTAGTTTTCCTCATCAAAACTGCTTTCTGCTTGGGCTGCTTCTTGTTTGCATGCAGCTGTTCTGAACCCTTGTGCTGGGCCAGGGCTAGCCAACTTTACACAGACTGAGCAGAACCTTATTTCAGTCTGTCTTGCAGACTGGGAAATCTCATTTGGTTTGCAGAGGAAAGTAGTCTGTGTCTGTGTGCTTTCTATAGCAAAAGAGCTGGCTATTTTCAGAGAATTATTTTCCAAAATATCCATGGGCATGAAGGGATAGTGTGTACTAAAGCAGGTATTTTATGAGGCATGATTCTTCTCACTAATCCAAAGACCTGTTGGTTCATGTATTTGGGTAGTGTGCTTAAAAATGCTTAAAAGCTCTTCATGTTCTCTCCAAGTGCTGTTACAAAAAGCCTCTCTTGAGTAAGTTGTTAGTGGTTACTGTTAACCCCAGAGGCAGTGAAGCCCCTAAAGTAAATACACATATGTATATATGTCAACTGGGAAATAAGAGTTTGTAATTTTGATTTTGAAGTGTTGCTTGTATAGCAAACAAAATGCTGTGGAATTTTATTCTCATAGAGCACATACAGATGGCCAAATTCAGAGCCAACAGGAGCTCATGTAACTCATGAATTCAGGTTAAGTTTATTAAGGAGCTTGCTGCAGTAGATATTTCTATACCTTGCCTGACCTGTTAACATCCTCTTTCTTCTTTTTCTTTCTTTTTCCCCCCAGTATACTGGCATGCATGGGCAGAAAATGTGTCTTTAAATCACAGGTCACACTTACAGCTTCCCTGTTGGCTGGCTGCCGGAAGATATCTCCATCAGCCTGCTCCCAGGATAACTCTCCATCTCCTGTACATGAAATAGGGCAGTATCAGTTAGAGGAGTCATTGTGCAAGGGTTTGGGAGATACGTAGAAGAAAAATCTCATCCAGCTTTACAGCTAAATTTGTCAGTCTTTAGTCTGACTCGATTGTGTTAGATTATGTAGAGATGACTTCCCAAATATCTTGGAACTTATGTGATCACAAAGGCAAGGAGAAATGAGCTTAGCTGAGCTCACAGAGAAAGGCAAGGCTGTGTGACCTTCCATCTGCTGTGTGCTGAGGGGACCCACAAGTGCCCTTACTGTTGATCAGTGGGTATGTAACTTGACTGACTGTAACTCGACTCTGAAGTCTAGCCACTAATAATTTACATTCTATCAGGAAAATGTAAGCCATACTTAGTCCTGCACATTTTATACCCCTATGTGTGTTTTTTTTCCTTATTTATGCTTTATTTAAAAAAAAATGTATATATATAATGTGATTATCAACTGCACTGAGTTACGGCAGAGATGTCATATATGAGAAATTGGCCCACTAAGACTGGATCCCATGTAAGCTCACAGGATGCTTTATTTGAATGCAGAAGGTATGAAATGTTCAAGTGTTCCTTTTTGAATTGGGCCAATAAAAGTAATAGGGAAGTAAGGCTTATAACAGTAATAACCTTCATAACAAAGCAAGGACACACTCACTTGTCTTTTAAATAAAAAAGGTTTTGCTAGAGCACTTTCAATCGGTGCATGCAATGTAGAAGTAATGAATGCTGTTGAGAATCAGTGTGAGGGACTTGCAGAGCCAGCCTCTGGTCCCTCACAGCAAAACATGTAATTCATGGGAAAAGTTGAAAAGAAGAAATTTTCAGTGTCTATTCAGAAGTAACATCCAGCTGTTTTCTGGGTAAAGACAAGCTCCGTAAACACATACACAACTAGTATGAGGGACGTGAACATTACAGCAGGGAAACATCAGTTTCAGGCTAGAGAGAGAATGTAGCTGTAAGAGTTGTTAAAGACGTATTTGGAGGTGTTCCTTGATAGAACAAGCCATGGAACATGAACTGATAGCTGGTTTTTGGAAAACTTGTACAAGAGCGGGAGAAATCATTTAGTGTGGAGCTGACCTTGGAATTTATCCCAGCCATGGAACTCAGATACAGGTACTGATAAAGTTGTTTTGCTAGTGGCTCGAAGCCTAGCTCTGTGTGTGCTGAGCAATTACTCTGGAACACAGTGCAGTACCACCACATCGTGAACTTGCTGGTTTACATGAATGGCACGCAACAGTGCCAGGCACAAGCTTGGGCCCCTGTGACAGGATAACTGCCACAGCAGTAATAGCATGTGATCCTGGCCTGGGAGAGCCATGGTGCTGATGCAGCTGTGTCTCTAGTTCTGCAGTTAACTTGATTTCACTCAGTCAGATCCATCGTGGTTCTGCTACCGTATGGCATTTTTTGAGAACTTTCCATTTAACTTAAGGGGAGGCTGGATCCTGATCCCTTAAGGATCCTGACATAGAAATCCTCATCCTTGCTCTGACTGGAAGGACAGTGACAGCAATGAACCCGCAGCACAAGATGGATGCAGAGCTGTTGGACTGGGTCCAGAGGAGTGGCATTTTTGAAAACCATAGGCATCTTTAGCCTCCTTGCACCTCTGAGAACAGGCCACAGGTGCTTAGATTCTTGAGAAGTGCATCTCACTACCAATAGTGAGATACAATACATCTAGAAATCTTCAGATATTTAGACAGGCTTGCAGACAGATATTTAAGTGTAGACATTCAGAAGGGCTAGTAAGGCTGGCAGTATGCTTCCTTGTAACCAAGTTCTCCATGCCTACAGGATCTAAAATGGAACTGCCAATAAAATACCAATGTTTGCTGAATACAGATTGACACCTAATTTAAACTGAATTGAAATTAACCTCTGAATTGAAATTCACCTCTGAATTGAAATTCTTATGTCTTGTATAACTTGAGCAGGACTGATAACTTGTCAGATAGAACCTCATCTTTTACTTCAAAACCCATCTAGTCAAAGCAATGGCAACTATTTAAATTCATCATTTGAACCCTGACTGTCTTCATCATTGGAATGCAACTTCATCAGTGCATTCTTTCCTTGTTTCAATTAAGGAAAACAAAGTTAGTAATATTGCCCTACTGGAATTTGATGTTTAATTTTCCAGCATGCATTAGGTTTTGAATAAATGAGAAACTTGCAGACAACATCCTAAGTGACAGTGCTGGTGCACAGACAGGGGAAGGAATACAAGCTGATGTGTGTCCTGTGCATGTGTAACACTTACCTCTGCAAACTGGACAGCAGGACTCTGGAACAGAAACTGGGAAAGAGCAAGTTAATTTGGGACAGGTCTTCAGCCCACAGTACACATTTCCTTCCTGCCAGTGAGACACAAGGAGCATTTAGGAGTCATCAATTTGTATGGTATCATGTATGCACTATTATGGACATATTTAAATCTAGTATGGATGCTTACATATATGCCCCTCAAGTAGCCAAAAGCAGAATATTAAACCAGTGAAGAATCTGAATGGCAGTTCTTAAACGTATGTCATGCAGAGGGAAGTCCCTTTGTTTTACAAAAATGAGAAAAGTTAAAGAAGTGTGGAGAAGGAAGGAATTGCAATTACTATAAGCCTAAAATCTGTCAATGTTTACCACCTGGTGTAAATTCTTCCCCGTTCTCCCTAAGTCATGTCATACCACTGATCTGGAGGAAGAACTTGGCAGTGATGCAAAATTGTTCAGTACCTAACCTGTTCAGTTTGTTGTTAATGCTGAATACAACAACAGTTTGATCAGAAGAGGTCCTGATTGGGATGAGAAAGATGTTTCAGCTCAAAGGATGCCTCTGAAGAGTCACTGAGTGACTGCTCAAATATGCTGGATTAAATTGGTGGCACCTCAGTAATGGGTTTGGGCCCGGTGCTGTCTTACAGAGCTGTCCAGTCCCAGCTCATGGGGCTCTTATCAGCTCAGCCCAAATGAATCCGATTTCTTTTCATGACTCAGTGCTGTATTTTCCAGTCAGGTTGAAGTGATACGTTCTATAAATGCCAAGTAGCAGTTGTTTATCTGCTGCCTTGCACTGCATGCTTACCTACAGCAGATGTCTGACAGGGTGAGCTTTGCCTCTGTGTTTGAGCAGGAGGCAGTCTGGCATTTACCAGGTGCCATGGACTGGCTTGTAGCACTTTTGTGAGTTTCTGCATTAACTCCCAGTTCCCAGCCTCTACTGTATGCTATGGACTGCATGCATTTCAGTGCCATGTCTTCTGGAAAGGTGAAATGAAGCTCAGACAGAGAAGGACTCTGACAAGCTGTGGTACTTACTGAGCAGCTGCACTGGGCACACTGGTTTGCTTGCCTGTTTTGGAAAAGCCCCTCTGCCACAAACATTTCGCCGTGATGGTAGGTGGTGCCATTGTATTCACAGGATTTCCCAGTGATTTTGCTGCTTACTGAGAACAGCGAATCTTCTGAAAGCGATGGGAAAGGAACACTTCATGCAAATTGTCCTCATGACTAGCAATATCATAAGTACAGGGATAGGAAAGCTCCCCCGTTTCTCTTTATTATAGAAGGACAAATTTTGTCATGCTACAAAATATGAGTGAAATTCTCATGCTGCTATTTTGCTGAACTTTCATAATTCACACTTTTGAGTTGACTGTCTCAGTTAATCTTTGGATTTTGATTTTATCATGAAGGCCAGCACAGACTGCCATCTCCCATGCTGCTGTGTTTTCTCTTGCTCTGTCTTCCACAGCATTTACAATTAGGATAAGCAGGTGCAATTACACACTCACTTGTTAAATTTACATGGCTCTTTGAGTTTTAACGTAGAAGGCATGACGGCCTGTATACACACACAATTCCACTGTCAGTAACAAATTTCTAGCACTGTTTCCCCCTTCTTAGGTCTGGTATTATTTTATTAATGATTTGCAGTGGGAGTTAGTTGCAGGTTAGCCAGGTGTACCACAGGGCAAGCACAGAGCTGCTTCTGTGCCTTTCACGGCACAGACCTTCTGGTGTACAGAACTGAAACTGCTGATAGAACTCTGTTAAGAGCGAACAGGCCCAAGAATAATTGTACTATGTTCTATATAAATGCTGGTTCCCAATGGCCTTCACACTTTGCTGCTGCTGTTGTTTTCAGATGGGCAAAACTTTTCAAAGGCAGTCTGCAAAAGCCACCCAAGAGCCAATGTTTTTCTTACATATGTTGTAAGGTGAGATGTGCAAATCAGAGCATTTTTTTTGCAGAACTGAGTGCATACAATGAAGTACATGAGATGTCGGTGTCTGTTCAATCCTGTAACCTCTTGTTTCAACTCAAGATCACATGGAGTTCTGCACTACATGAGTCAGATTTTCTTCTTACTCTTAGAATTATCCATATTATCCATATCTTCAGGTAAAACATTCCCTAGACTGTTTATCACACAGCTGACAAACTCTGCAAAGGGATTATACTTTACCTAAGAAATGTAAGTCACTTGATATATATTGGGCAGCAAATCTGACACTAATACATTTACATTTGCATGAATTTAGCATCTCAGCAAGGGAATAGGCATTTTGAACACGAGCTCTATGGAAGTAACAGTGGGGTATTTGTTCTCTGGAGCCAGAATCACTTAGTTTTCTAGGAATGCAGCTGAAATTTCATTCAGTGGGCTTGGGCTTTTATGTAAAAGAAACCTGACCTGAAAATTCAGGTCCTGCTGTAGTCCCTTTTATTATCTACCAGATGAACCTGGGGAGATTACTTTTTGAGAAACTATAGAGTGCATAGAGTGCAAGTTTCTCAGCTGAGTTTTCTGGTGATACATAGTGGCATTATAAGCACTGACATTCAGAGCTTTGGATAAAAGCATGTATTTTGTTACGTCGGTTTCATCAGATATTAGTTATCTGGTAAATGTCAAATCTGCCTGTGGAACATACACATACTGGGGTATTTGAAAATCTAGGGGGTCAGCAAAGAACCTGTGGGAGAAAGGCAGAAGTTATCCATTAGGGGCCAGTTAAGGCCCCAGGTCTGATATTTGGTTTCTCTCAGAGTGAGCACTGAAGTGACAAATGCAGCATTATTTTGGTGCAATCAGAGATGTAATGGTACCTTTCCAACATGTTACACAAAGCATTGATGCTCTTGCTTGGCATGAAAATGCAATGTATGTCAGTTCACTGGTGATGCACATTCTGGAATAGCAAGATGCATGTTCTAATTAAGACAAATTTGGAAGTCATTAGGAAAAGATTCAAATAACAAATTCAGCAACTGTCTCATTAGGCACAAATATTGGAAATCACATTGAAGAGGCACTTTTCAGGACAGTGCCACTTCTCACAAGATATACCACCATGATTTCTTGGAAAGCACAAGAAAGCAGAAAAAGGAATTGCCAAACCCTAGATGTCCCCTGTACCTCAGGCAACTGGAAGAGCAGTTGAACTGGGAAGAAAAGTATGGGAGAAATGAAAGAACACAGATGGTTCTTGCCTGGATGTGAGGGCCTGTTCATGCAGCCTGTGCAGGGCAGTACTGTGCCCATGTAGGATGCCTGTCCAAAGACAGTGTTTGGCTTGTAGTCTGGAGGTGTTTGCAAAGACTCATGACATATCAGAATACTGGATGAAGAGTGTAAATTTTACTGCAGATTTACTTTGGTACATACCACATTGCTCAGATTATTACAAAATTGCCAAATGCCTTCAAATAGCAGCTTCTGAATAAGACAAGGAGGATGGTAAACTTTTCTTTATATACTCCTATTTGTCCCCATATCCTCAATTATTTATCTCCAACAACACTTGAACTGTTGTAGGGTTCCAGTTGGATTACAGGGTTACAGCCTTGGTACATGACAGCTGAGTCAGAAACGTAAGGCTGAGTGAAACCAATGCTGCTTTTCTAATTAGAAGGTGAACAGCAGAGGGAAAAAAAATCACAAAAACTTCTCTTATATAGCTCATGCTTACTCTGACTTCTGCCTTAGTTTTCAACACTGTCAGGTTAAGTAATCACAAGGAATCTCCTTAATTGATTAAAAAGATGATGCTTTAGACTGCTGCAGGAGGAATAGGACAGATAGCGATGGGATGGCTTGCTCTGGACCAGCTCAGGCCAGCAGCTCAGGATTTATTGCTGTATTTGCTTAATATTACACTACACAAAGATAGATAGACTCCTTGGTAACAATAATTCTCTCTCTGAGACCCTTCAGGTTTGGCACAGAAGGGGTAGAAAACCAGATAAGACTATTAAAAATATATCATAAATGATGTGGGGTGGCCATCTAAGATCAGCAGAGGACCAGGAGGGTCATAATGCAATTATGCACTTCAGCTGGGAATGGAGTTATTGTAGCCAGGAAGGTCTTTCAGAAACAAGAATCAAGAGGCTGTGTCTTAACCGTGATACAGACACTAGAAAAGACAAGCTTTCCTTTCCAACAGAGCTACACATACAGGTGCTTGGCCAACAGCAGTAGGTGGTTGGAGTGTGTAGTTTTGCTCATCTGGATTTCTTTTAAAGTTGATGATAGAGGTTGGGCCTGTAACAGCTAAATCGTAACATACAGCCCAAAACACAAGTATGCCAGACTATCTTTGGAACATGGGAGGCAATTCTATTGCTATTTGGAAGTCTTATTTGATGTAATAATTGTAAGAAAAATCAGTTTCAGTAGCAGGCAGTAAGACCATGTTTTTGGTCCTGATGCATACCTGTGCATGTGATTATCTTTGAGCACACGGAGTGAGTGGGGCTACTTGGTTGCACAGAACAAGGTTTAGAAGTTTTAGATCAAGACCGCATGATTCTTACTGCAGAAAAATACATCGTGTTATATACTGGAGAGACCATACTGATGAGTGCAGTTGATCTCCTCCAAACACAGCATCTGAAGCTGCAAGGAAGCTTTGTATCACATGCCTGTATGTAGCTTCTTGAGAGAGAAAATCAGTCTAAGAGTGACTTTCTATAACTGGGGCTTGCCTTGGTTTCTTTTCCAGTGCTCTTTGAATTGTGGCTAATTAGAGGAGTTCAAACTCCCTCATATCATATTCTCCTGTAGAATGTGAAATTGTAGACATTGTGTATTCTTGTAATAAGTGCCAGGTTGGAACTGTGAAAAATCATGCCATTAATGCTGATATCAGCATGCATTACTCTGTGCCTCAGTTAAGGTACGTAAGAGCTGGGTTAGCTAACTGCAAACATGCAGCATTGCTCAGAGTCCTGTTTGTAAACCTTGTTTCTTAATCACAGCTGTTCCTGTAGCTTTATCTGGCATTTTATTGGTGCTGACTAACCTTGCTTTAATTAGCCGCCTCCATAAAGGACCAGGCAAACCATCTGTGTGAATCCTTTTAATTACGTTCAGTGGTGTCATTTTTGGCATTCATAGCATGTCAGAGGAAGCAATTTAAAACATAGGCTAAAGATGTTACAGCATCAATGGAAAAGGAAGTGGCTGTGTTTCTGTGGCTGCCATTTATTCTCCAAGGGCGCAGACTTCAAAATAGAGGTTGACAGGCTATGCTTGCATTGCCTGTGATTTTACAGGGTTCAAGATAAGACCGTGAGTTATTAAAATGGATAGCCTGACTTATCACAGGTCTAGCATTAGGTAAAAGCAAGGAGCTAAAATGTGCAGCCAAGGCTGAGCATATGACTTGCTATGGATTTGAACTGACCCTGCAGGTATCTTTAAAAGTTGAGTCTGGCTGAAGGTTTCAGGGTTTACAAGCAGGCAACAGAATACAACCATGTCAAAAATTAGTTTGTTTCAAAATTTTTCTATTTTAAAAAGCAATTTGATACTGTGGTGACTATGCTTGAATTCTTATACCAAGCATTCCTTTGTTCAAAACCTGGGATTCTCTCCACCTTCTGCTGTCTACCTGGGCTCTTTTTTAATGGTGTGCCATACACGCAGGATATATCCTGGCCTCAGTGAAGCCAACAGAAAGCCTGTCTTCAGGATTCCTCCTAGGTGCTTGCTGTAACTCTGCTCTCTAAGATTCTGACTGGGGAGATGGAAGCTTGTATTGGGAGGAACTGCTGATCTAGAAAAGAACAAGATTTTCTATCTGTTCAGATTTATAGTGAAGCCTGATATTAATGCTCACTCTGAACTAGATCTGCACATAGCTGTAGCTTGCTTACTGTATGAAATGTTGTCCTTTTGACAAGAAGCATGAAGAAACCATATGAGAAGAAGTTTGCCATGAAGGGACACTAACTTAACGTGAAGTGCAGTGCCCATGCTTTTCTAACAGTCTCTGATGTAACAGAATTAGATATTTAGAGAGAGTTTGATAAACTACAGAAATCTTCTGGCTCAGTGGAGATTTTCTGGCTCAGTCACAGATTTTTCATGGAAACCTACATCGGATAATTGGGGGTGGGGGTGTTCGTATGCACAGCATGCACAGACCCTGGCCAGGAATTCCAGGGGCTTCC